CTGTCTTCCAGGATAATTCAAGATACAACAAATACAGTAAAGAAAAGCTGAAAAGCAGTTGCATGTCTTGCAAAAGGTCTAACAACAAGGAAAGCACTAACTCTGGTGTGATCACAGTTGATGTGAAGGTGTAGCGAGTTTGCACAGCAAGATTTTGGCAGCAGGAAGACTACCAGGGGGGCTTCTCTGAGAAGATGCCAGAAGCTTTCTCTGTGTCTGACAGAGACAGTGCCAGCCAGCTCCACAGCAGGCCACCACTGGCCAAGGCTGAGCCCAACAGCAACAGTGGAGTGCCTCTGTGATAACATATTTAAAAACGGGGTAAAAAAACCTGTGCAACTGCAGCCAGAGACAGGAGTGAGAATAAGTGAGAGGAACAACTCTGCAGACACCAACGTCAGTGAAGAAGGAGCGGGAGAAGGTGTTCCAGGCACCAGACCAGAGATTCCCCTGCAGCCTGTGGTGAAGACCATGGTGAGGCAGGCTGTCCCCCTGCAGCCCACGGGGGTTAACAGTGGAGCAGATATCCACCTGCAGCCCATGGAGGAACCCATGCCAGAGCACGTGAATGCCTGAAGGAGGCTGTGACCCCGCAGGCAGCCAGCACTGCAGAAGGTTCCTGGCTACACCTGCGGACCCATGGAGAACCCACACTGGAGCAGTCTGTTCCTGAAGGACTGCACCATGTGGAAAGGACCCCCACTGGAGCAGTTCATGAAGAACTGTAGCACGTGGAGAGGACCCCACAATGGAGCAGGGGAAGGTGAGGAGTCCTCGCCCTGAGGAGGAACGGTTGGCAGAGAAAATGTTTGAACTGACCACAACCCTCATTCCCTGTTCCCCTGCACCACTGGAGGGGAGGAGGTAGAGAAAACTGGGTAAAATTAAGCCTGGGAAGAAGGGAGGGGTGGGGGGAAGGTGTTTTAAGATTTGGTTTTATTTCTTAATACCCTACTTTGATTTGAGTGGTAACAAATTAAACTAATTTCCCTGAGTCCATTCAGTCTTGCACATGACAGTAATTGGTGAGTGATCACCCTGTCCTTATCTTGACCCATGTGCATTTTGTTGTAATTTCTCTCCCCTGTGCAGCTGAGGAGAGGAGTGACAGAGGGGCCTTGGTGAGCACCTCATGTCCACCTAGGTCAACGCACCACAGAAGGACTGAGTCACTCCATAGAGGTTTTTCTTTATTTCTGGATCACTTTTCCAAGCAAAAAGTCACTGGCATCAACTTCCTAAGAATGGAGAACAGATATAAAAGGTATCTGATATAAAATAACACATTTGACAATGAAGTCAATGGAACACCATTCATTGCTATCAGCTCCTTTTTTACACTAGTGGCTGTATGAGCTTTTTACATCACAGATCTAGAATTAGAGTAAAAAATAAGACTGATGATATTTATTTTTCTTAAATCTGCAACAGTGATTTGGTTTACTAACTACCAAGTTTTCTAAGACTCACACATGCAACTCAACTCAAAAAAAAAATCCAAAGTTTACTGAACATCTAATAAAATACGATCTAACAAATAAATATAACATCTCATGAAGTATCTACTTTCTGCTGTAAAAATATTTTTTTTACATATGGGACAGGTGTAGAAATATTCTCAATGTAAGCATATTGACTACAAGAATAGGAACTAATGCTACTACACCATTGAAACAAAAGGTAAGCTAGAAATCACATGGTAAATACAGAATTAACACCTGTTTATTACCATTAGATTAAAAATAAAAATACCTGCATTATTTTCCCTGTGTTACTTTCACCTGTTTCCCTTAGTGCTTGGAAACATATTTTTTCATTCTACACCCGTCAGGAACAGAAGCATTTTGAAAATGTGTTTTTATTCTTTTGAAACAGCACGAAATAGATTGACAAAACCACAACAAATACAAATCCATTTCTAGAAAACACAGACGTAATATCCCTTCTGTCTTTATTGCACTAACAATAAATGAATAACCCCAACCAAATACACCACAACTATTAATAAAAGAAATGAAAAAAAGTCTTCCTGAGAATAAGTTTTGCAATTTCTGAATATTTTTCATATGTTTAAGCTACATCTCCAGTGCAGTAACTGCCAGAGACACATTTGGCTTTCAGTAATCTCAACTGAATTCCTAAGCAAGCTTCTTTTAAGCTCATATTAAAATGTGAGTTTATAAATACTTTGGTTTCTTTCTTTTTTTCAGAACTTTACTGCCTGACTACTTAAGCAAAGAAGCAGGATTTTTTTTCCTGAACCTGCCAGAAGTATAAAGGAAATTCCTCAATGTGCTTTTAAGCAAACATTGAAACTTTGTCTTCTGACACATAAGATTTCCTCTTCCACCCTAGTTGCCAAGCAGCTAGAGAAAGAATCCTGTCCTGCATATCTTTTATTCCACGTGCACCATAGTTTTTAGTAGGCATGGGTTTCAATCTGAGGTCAGTATTTAGACATCAAAAGACAATTTGTACAGCATTTGTAGTAAGAAAGACACCAAGGACTCAAAAGAAATAAAAATAACCTTTTCAAAGTACTTTCATTATAATTTATTACTGTGACAAAGTTGAGCGGGAAAGGTCCTTACCCCAATACCCAAATTTACAGTTTAGTCAAATGTGAAACAGCCCTCCAAAAAAAGTGCAAAAAGAAAGGTGAGGCAAAATTAAATAACCAGCAAAATCACTGGAATTTTTCAGCTTAGTGTCTCCATGCATGGAAAAATTAGTGCTAAGGTACAAGTATATAATGGAACAATTTCAAGTGCCTTCTTTTCTTGTTTCATCACGTTAATACTTCACACTGAGCAAAATTAAATACCACACACATTTACATCAACAATATTTTAACACACATTAGTATCCTGCAAGGTTCTCCAATTTGAGGTGAAGGTAGTATGTAACTTGACAGGTACATAACAAGAAGGCATAAGATCAGTCTACACTGAGCTATATACTACACAAATTCTCACACATATTGCTACAAATGCAGAAGCCACTCACTCTTGACGGCAACAGGAGGGTTGTCAAGAAAAGATCAACTGAAGTATGACTTGTGCATGTCTTCAAAAATTAAAAAGGAACAAAAAGTACTCAGGCCCAGCCTGATGTGGAGTTTATTTTTTGTGTCTAATTTGTACGTGTTCAGAATTTATGGCAATGCTTGAGGAAAACAACACTATCAGGGCAGGACTTCAACTGTTGTTGACTTTAAAGACATATTTATGTGTCATTCAACTTAACTGAATTTAAAGGCATACTAACAGTTAGAGATCCTTAACAGCAAGTTCTGTCTTTAAGGTATGTATGTATGCATGTAAGCACATATGTCCCTAAAGCCAAATTTTAAGATGATAATCACTGGAAGCAGAACTATGACATTACCAGCAAATGGATCAAAATCCACCATCATTCTGTAGAGATGCAATTAAACTATCATCTCTTTCACAGACAAGCTAAGCCTTCTGACACATTGTTTCCAAAAAAGCCAAAGGGAAGTACATTTTTTGCAAAATGGTATAATCTAATAGGGAGAAAGGTGTGGATTTTCCACAAAAATAATCTTATAAAACTATTTTTTAAAAAGATAAAAAGCAAGAAGAAACTCTTCAGGATGATCGCAGGAACAGAAGGCATCTCAGCTGAACATAGCATAGGTGATTACTTCAATGCCATCACCAATATCATAAACAATATAAAAACTGGGAACGTATAACTTCTAATTCCTATGTATGTATAGACATTTTCTAAACACACCAAATGAATGACAGATCATAACAAATATCCCCATTGTGCTTTAAAACTTACTATCAGCTGTGGTGGAAATATGATTTTGTTTCTTATTCAAGTATAAGGTTTTCTGTTCACTTACATTTCAACATTAAGTATTTCTACTCAATACAAAAGTACAAAGTTGCTTAAATGATAGATGTGATCTGTAATGCAACACTAGCAGTTTAGATATATTTCTGCTGAGCACTTAATTTCAATCTTTATTCTAGAAAAATCATATTGCACCTAATTGATTTTTGTGTTTTGTGAACTTCTTCTGAAATCAGACGATATCAATAGAAACAGATACAGATGCTGCAAAAGTATACATGTAATTGCACCACTGTTAGACAAAATTCCTACATACAGCCTGAAATTGACAACAAGAAGTTAAATACCAAATGGAACATATTATTCTTTATGACTTCTAACATCTTTGTTGCCAATTACAGATTTAAAACATTCTGAACCTAAAATATAAAGAAAGGCAGGTCCTGGTTAAAAGTTCAAGGTTATTCTTTACATTTGTATTAAAGATCATAGATTTATCAGTTTCATCAACTCAAAATGTGTGTCCAATAATCTAACCCTTCATTGTTCAACTTGGTCTCGGTTTGTGAAAAGAATTCAAAGTGAAGCTCCCACATCTACCTGCTACATCAGTGACTATTGTTTAAACCACTAATTCATTACTCACACATTCATGGTTTGTCTCTGCATCAAAATCAACAATAAAGAGAATTTCCTGGAGAGCTTCCTATGCCCAGGGAAAGCAAGCATGGGACTGAGCGAACTCTGCCTCTGAAAATGAATGATTTGCATGTGTGTATACATTCAGTTATTTACTAAAGAGCAGAAAGAGAAACATCAAATCACTCCCCTTGGAAATATGCTTGTCACAGTCCTTTTCCTAAGAAAGCATGGTTTGAAACCATAATCCACATTTAAAAAAAAAAAAAAAAAGGCACTGATGGGACAGTTCATCCAGCTAAGGGGTGACCTGCTCCTGGCAAGTCACTGAACTGTACAAGAAAGATCAGCCCAAGAGACAGAAGGGGAGTAAATAAAGATCATTTTTTTTTATTCCTTGCCTATAGGGTCTGTCGAGGGGAGAGAGACGCTGCACTTAGACACCTCTGTTTTGTTCTGTTGGACTGGCCCATGGCAGTGATAAGGGGCAGGTTTTTGAGCACTCAAACACACGGGCTCTGCTCACAGCCACCACTTCACAGCCGCGTGTCATACTCCAAAGGCTCGTCTGCATCGTCAGCTCCTCTGGTGCTTGTCTCCATTTCTGTTTCAAAGGCTGGCCCAACCCTTTCCAGTGTGTAGTCACTTCTCAAATCTATGGCAAGAAAATAAATTCAACGATGCAGCCAAGTAAATGTTTGAAAAGCACATACACCCCAGGCAGTGTCCAACCCAGTGACTGGTGGCAGCCTGTTAGCTCTTTCCAGCAGGAAGAAAATCTGTAGCAGGGCAAATCAGAGCCAGGGGGATGAGAGCCCTGGGGGGACCCAAAATGGTGTGAGCTGATATGAATGAACCCTCCCTGACTGCATTCAATCAGCTTATTTTCCCCTCTATTATCTCTAGCTTCCACAGACACAAATAACCAAAAACAGTAACACTGCAGTTTCTGTTTCAGAATCAAACAGCAATTATTATTCCATGTAGGCACTGAAAGGAAGGAGCTTTCCCCTAGCAAAAAATAGGTGGGTGGAAATTCATCCAGAATAGCAATCTATTTTGGCTTTGTCTTTTAAATCTGCCCCACATCAAACAGAAGGACATTCTATCAAATCTAACATGAACAACAGGCAATCCAACTAAGCAGAAGTAAGTCCTACAGTGTATAGGGCCCTATCCCACAGCCACGAAATCTCCAGTGAGTTTTTCCCCACCTAATGCATTGCCAATTTTTAGATCATTACTCTTTCTCATTCTAAAAATTATTGCTGATGTTATCTGTAGTGATGACCCTGGAAAAATGAGCTACCATTTTGCAAAGGAAAGGAAGCCACACAATGGGTAGAAGCTTTCATGCTGAATGCTAACACCAGGTTGATAAGCTCCAACCTTTACACAGTTGCTGGGCAAAAGAGCAAGGTAAAAGAGCAATATTCTCATCTCCGCCTTTGCACAGAGAGTGCATGCCTGCTATGATCTTTCAGCTCAACAGAATTTCAGTTCTTGTCTTTATAGCATGCTCAGGCCTTTACTTCCTTGCATTTAAATTGTTATACACAGATCAAAAATTAATCTTTTCTTTGCATACCTGGAAGTTTCAGCCTCCTGCAGCAAGAGTTACAACGATGCTTTGTGATGAAGTTTCTTATTGCACCTTCTCCTAGGTTTGCTGGTCCAAATACCATCTTTCCAGATCTAAAAGCAATATTATTAAATAATCAATGAACTCAAAGCAATTGCAGGGGAGGAAGACTATGACATTTTCTATTTTTTAAATCAGAGGTGTTAGTCCTTTGTATAAAGAAAATCAAAGTATACATCATGAGTTTCTTAGCCCTGGGACAATTAAACTCACAATTCTGGTAAAGTATTACCCTACATATATGCCACACTACATCTCCTTCCTGCTGCAGCTCAGAGATGCTTTAAAGGTGGACAGGACAGACCCAGCAGTTCCTACTAAAACGCTCAAACAAAATTTGGGCAGAGTGACATTGAGACGACGTACACCAGAATCTGAGTGACTCTGACGCAGCCACTGCTCATTCTCATCAAGCAAATGGTTTGGTTCTGCTTTTGATGGTAGGCACCCGGGAACAAACCTGAGCTAGGAAGGACTTACTTTTACCTTACTTAAGAACAGAAAGCCAAAAGCAAGCAGAGCCCTAGTCACGTCAATATGCAGCACAGAAAAAAAAAAACACAGTACACTGCTGACAAGCAAGGCTTTCAAATTTATTGGCTTCTTCCTGTGCTCATTTCCATGTGTCTGCACTCAGGCCAATTCAGCAACATTACTAGGGGATCCATTTGTGGAAGTGTATTGCATATTCTGAATGAAGCTGACACAATTACAAACAGAAGCAAGCTACATCCACACATGTATTAGAAGTATCACATAATTATAACAGATTCTTAATGTAGTCTGAAAGATCAGTGTTCATTAATTTTAATACTGCTCCACCATTATTCTCAAGAATTTAATTGACATTCTAGACATCACGGAACACAGCACACAAGAAACACTTCCAAAGAAACTTTATGAATGCTAGTATTTTATTTTAATGATATGCAGAGTGGAAACAACACATTTTAAAATCTGAAATCAATTACAGCTCTGAGAAGCTATAGAAAAAGATTTTAACTCTCTCAAATCTATCTGTAATCCACACTAACAAAATACATTATCTCTAAAGAAAGCAGTTTTCAAATATGACACTCTCCCCTTTCACACAGGAGAAAAGCAACAATTAGCCAAAACTACTACAGAAAGCTTAGTATCTCTCTAATTTCTGGCAGACACTAAAGACTACCTGTCTCCTGGATCACCTGAATGACTCATCTAATCAGCCTTTACTGCAAATTAGTACAACAAACGAGACAAGAAGTGAAATATTACTTATGTGCCATATATACACTTTAAATGACTAAATGCTATATAGCCATTTCTAACCATTGGTATAATCTATAAAATGCCAGTAAGAATAGAACATACTTAAGTATTGGTTTGGGCAGGCATAGGAAATTGAAAAGACTTCACTAACGCCAAGGCTACAAAAGCACTCTGATACCACCTCTGATCTAACTATTATTCCGTGCAAAGTGCAGCAAATTGCACAAGACAGACTGATAATTTTCTCACAGTGTTGTGAGATAACCAGGGATACTGCCTGCAACATATGTGAAGTAATCCTTTCTCTCTACTCAGCACTGGCAATGGTTCAAGAGGAATACTGCATTTAAATTTGAAAAACTATTTCAGGAAATAAGGGGATAAACTGGGAAAATAACAAGAATGACCAGCAGTCTCAAAATCATGACACAGATGAAAAGATTAGGAGGCAGCCTAAAAAGAAAGAAAATAAATTGAAGGAGAAGGCTAACTTTGAGCCTGTTGAAATTTTTTACTCTATGTTGACGCTAGACAGGACCAGAAAGAAACATTTCAAGAAAGAAATTGGGAGAAATCTTTCAGACAGTAATGACAGCAAACTATTGAAAACAGCTGCTCTGGAAAGTTTTTAAGGTCATCCTTGGAAGAACTTAAGACTTGTCTGTACAAGACCTGAAAAGCCAGGAATGACCTGGTGCAGAAGAAGAACCAGCTGAACTCTCTGAGTCCCTTCTAACCCTACGAAAGTTTTATAAACAAGGTCACTCTCCTGGTTATTCAAGGTCTGATTTTGTCTCCAAGGAGAGAAAAATAGAAAGCCTAGCTTTCCTATTTCCCAAGAAGGTGCATGAATGTGAGCTAATGGGCTTAAAAAACCCACACATGTTCCTCCTTTTTTGCAGAACCTTACCTAGCAGTTATGCTCCATAAATGCCTACCAGATTGTATCAGACTGGTCCTGACTGGTAACGCAGACTGTGCTGATGCAGAGTGGTCCTTATAGTCCAGAGCTACAAATGCTCAAAGCAGACAGTAAGACAATTACAGGGCTTTACTGATGGAAGGTAAAAGACTTGGGGGAGGAGTTCATGGCAAGTAGCACCTTTCTAGGGAGGTGCCCAAATCATTTATTCAGTATATTTTTGTAGATTTAGCTTCCAGTCCACCTGTTTCAGTGGTGCAGGTTTCTACAGCACAGGTTCAGTTCATGCAGCTGTTGTGTCTACTGGCAGCAATTCAACTGCAAATCGTTTGGCTGGAAGTGCACAGCTTGGTAAATATTCAATAGATTTGTTCTTCAAAACACATGCTAACGCACAGCTTCAGAGAACATGGTCTCCACTAGTTACTAAACCCTTCAGCCCGTCACTAACTGCTTGAGAGCTTTCAAAAGGGAGACTAAGAGACTCCTCCTTTTCACATGTTTGTAATGAGATTTTTGACTGCCAGCACCCTTTTTCTCACCTCTCTCAGCAGGCCTGATGCATCAGTTCTTCCCAATTTGAAACTCAGCCCACTATTTTGCTCAACTCCGAATCTGCTCTACAGATGCTCTGTTCCTAGTGTCTGTGAAAGCTTTACCCACATGGACTTTGTTGTGGATTTGGCAAGTAGTACACATTAAAAAGAACATCCAGAGTACTGCTTATGAGGTAATTAAAAGAAATCTTTTCGTGAACATTATACCACATCATTTTATCATCCCATACATCCTATGGAGCGCATATGGCCAGATCCTGAATCAATGTTAAATATCCATGAACTAACATTGATTTTCATCATCTCAGAATCTGTCAAAGATGTCACAGTATCAGGCATACTTTCCAAACAGATCTTTTATTTTTGTCTCAGTACTGATATAAAACCAAGACACAATGGACTATCACAGAGCTAGAGGTCACACTTTGCCATTACAAAGTCCATTTCAACACAGAATGCAGGATGCATGAAAGAAAAAACTCACTACAAGATAATGACATGAACCACTAAATGAATGGAATTAAAGAAGCAAAACATAAATATTTTAACTATAAGTAGCACTAAAATTTGAATCAGCCCCATCAGTGAGATGCCATCTATTTTCTCCCAGGCTTCTAAGAGAACATGAGCTCAAAGCAACTTTTGAGGTAGCACACTGGTTTTGATTAAATATCTTACCTACAAATGAAAACTTAGAACAGATCTTGTAACTGCCAGAAACGTTCCTCTTGTGAGCAAATGAAGGTTAGAGCAAAGACAGCGCTTTTACATTTTCATTGTTATCACTATTTTAGAAAGTGTTTCTTAGAATTGAGTATCTGCTAGCTGCTTACAGAATCCATCCACAGTTTCACTGCCTTATTCCTTTAGATCCCTGAATCAAAACAATATAGTTTCACAACTTGCTGTTCTGAAGATTTCCCTAAACATAAGAAAATCAAGCTGGTTTTGATTAATTAATCAACACTTACTCTTTAACTAGGACTTGACTGTTTTCCAGATGATAAAAAACAAAACAACAAAAAGTTCTGAAAATAAGATCTGTGTGATCAAATTTTAGTAACCATGGCAAAATTATTTAATGACAAAAATAATCCAGAAGGACATTAATAAACATAAGCTTCAAGATAATGCAGATAAATATTATTCCTGTTTTAAAGAGGATAAGCTGAGTTGCCATGTGAAGTACTGTGGTCAATGACTGGTCACAGGATTCAGGAATAACTATTACAGTTTATGCTACCACTTATATAAAAACAGTCCACTTAAACAGTAGCAAACCAGAATTTTATGCATCTGTAGCAATACTTAAAAAATGTTTCTAAAATCTAGTGAACAACTACATGATTGATCTCTGTACCTCTCTATCCTCAGCTATCCTTGTGCTTTTGTCAGGGTCCTATGACCTACTTAGGGCAAAGACTTTGTCACTGTGAGGTGGTCAGCATATTTTTGATGTTGCTTCCAAAATAAATATTATATGGGCAATACACCTACATTCATAATTAAACATTCATACAACATTAATACAGTCATTTATTACTAATCTTATTAATGAAATATTAAGAATGGTCCCAGAACCACGAACCTGCTTCCAAAATAAACTTGTTCTGAGTTCTAGGCAAATCATCTGACATTCCTATAGTTAACTGTCCATTGTATTAAATCCAACTATTCGTATTTATACCTTCCCTCCTTCCAAACATAAGACACCCCTTCAATCCAATGACATGAGCTAAGCAAGAGGGAGCCAAGATGAGCACAAGACAGTGGGGGGGCAGGGATGCCAGCGCACAGCCGGAGAGATGTGTGGCTTTAGGAAGACTCCCCAGAGAAGGTGACCCTACAGGACAACCACCATCAACACCACTGCTTCTCTTCTTGTTACAGCAAATACTAGCGACGAGCAAGGTGACAAGATGGGAGAACAGCCACGGTTCTGATTCTGAAATTTGATGCATGAAGGCAGACTGCTACTTCTGTGTAGTCTCTCTAGTTTTTGTAACTTTCCACACATGATTTAGCATCTCCATATCACAGCTCTGTAACGTGTAGTATGCTTAAAAGCACCACTAGGACCTATCGGAAAGATCAGAGATCCATCAGCCCTGGGCTCATCCTCTTAAGCCATTGTGGCCCCATATACTCTATAAAATAGTGCCCCACCAGGCAGGGGAAACTGGGCTGCCACACTTAAGTTACTGATGACTTCCTTCGATGCAAATTTGTGAAAAGACTTACTAGGTCTTCTGTCTCCCATTCCTGCTCCCCTTGCATAGCCCTGGAAAGCTCCTGTGCTCCCAGCACAGCAATGCAGACTCTCCCCACCTTTCATACAACATTCACCACACGTTGGGAGCTGGGACACTTACAGCCCCACCAAGTCCACCATCCTCCAAAGCACAGCGGAGGATGTTGTCTCTCCATTGCCCTAATACCTTCATTTAACACACATACCATGCAAAAAATAACTAAAACTCTCACACAAAACATTAAGTCACCCTAAATATACACACTGTTGGCAGAACGTCTGAAGTGAATGACAATTTCATCAGAAAGAAACCTACTTTTTGTCTTCAGGTTTAATCACAGATGGATCTGTAAGGTTTTCTCCAACACCTACAAGAAAATCAACAGTGTGTGTTACAAAGGAAGGTAGTCATGATTTTGTAATCTGGCACTTAACAAAAATGTAATTATCCATTTTCTATGTAGATCATAAAGGGTCACAGCTAAAGTGGTCATGAGATAAAAAGAAAATGCTATGAGTATAAAAATCTGTTAAGTATTGGCAAACATATAGAGTTCTTATTACAGTCCTGACTTCAGCTGTTTTGAGGTTTATTTATATATAGAGGGAAGGCTTATGCAAATGCACTAAACATTATGCTGAAGCTCAGCTAAGCAAAATGTGACCAACCATAAGACTGCTATTTAAGTTAGAGTAAAGGCATTAATCAGATGTGGATCTTACTGATATCAATAGATCTACTCTCAGATACAAGTTCTCTTCAAGGTAACAAACACAATAAGACACAACTTTGAGATCTGTGAATGCTTGGGTCTGTTATCCCTTTTTTCTTCTGGGCAGCCACAGAAACGTATTAAATAAATAATGTCATTATGATACTTGAATGCTGATACCTATGTTGCAGTTTTCCCCTAACTGATGACATACTACCATTTTACCAAAAACCTCTTTCCTTATGTCTTGAAGACCTCATTGTGATTTTACACTAATAAAAAAAGTCTATGATCACATGACATGCAATTATTTTTATTGCGATAGGCCACTGATGGTAAATTTATATTCTGCAACAAGCACCTGTAAAGACTATAGGAATAGCATATTGTGATTGAAATACCCCAAATTCCAATACTCTTCAATGAAGGTCATTTCAGTTGATGTAAAATACACAAAATTTGGTGTACATGTATGCGGAGATGGCCCTAGTAAATGGTGATAGAGACAAATCCTATTAGAACTCCAAGGGGAGCAGCCGTTGCACTTTTCCTAAATGCCAGATTAGAGAACTACAAGATAAACATGAGGCCAAAAGTAGAGCAGATTTCAGTTTATTTGAGATGGAAACTGAAGCTCCAGTCTTGATGAGATTTACATAGATGTTTAAATTCCCCATGTTTGAGCCAACACAGTTGGTCTGGAACTGTCGAGAACTGTATAATAAACCCAAGCAAACTTCAGACAAATTCTAGTAGGCTGTGGTGAAGACACACTTACTCTTTCTGTATTTTTTTCATGCGCAGCTAAAACCAAATGAAGGCAAGAATGGAATTATAGGTTTATTTTGCATAATAAGCATGTCTTTTTGTAATTCACAGCTTCTGGATGCTGTAAAATGTAAATATGTTAAGTCTCTGTCTACCCATACACATTTCCCTTGACAGAAATGACAAACAATACTGTTTATACTGTTTGATGGGTGCTGTTCATCTTCTGAACATTGTCAACTGTTTTATCTCTTTAAAATATGCCATGTTCCCACTTACACATGTACAGTAAAGTGATCACATGCTCTTTGAAGGAGTCACCAGACTTTGTGAATAGCATTCAGGCTTGCAGCTTATGTAAACTGCTTACAGAATTATTAATATGAAAAATAAAGAAATACAGATAGGAGTTCGTGCTCTTCTGACAGATATACACATACATTAAGAGTGCATATATACATAGGTATGCTTGAATCTCTGTATTATTTATATATCTTAATAAAAATAAAAATACCTTAACTGTGGAGTGCTTTTTTTGGAGCTGGCTGAAATGTTCCTGCACACTTTATCTGCCTGGTCTTTTGCCCATTCAGCCTAAACATATTTGAAGCCAAATTATTTTCCCGTTACACCTACATTAATTCCGAGTGTTTCTGTGAATACTCATATATCAGTGCCGCACAACAGATATCCAGGGGTTTCTTGAGCTTTGTATGCAAATGAGAGCAGAATTTGGCCCATTCCTCAGTATTAAATTCTCTTTTGAGACAATTGCTTTTCATTGGGTTTCAAATAGTGATCCCCTGCTAGCAGTCACCTTGCAAATCCAGGACAAGGAGCTCCCCACGGGTGTACACGTAGGTCCAGTGAGAGAAAGCCAGCATCAGCTCTTCCAGCAAGCTGCTGGGAGTAATCTCGTCACCGTTGTTGTTGTTGTACTTCCGAAACTCGCCAGTCATGTACTTCTCAATGGTCAGCCACTGGTTCGCTGAATGGCAATAGATGAGGAAAACTTCCAGGAACCTGCAGATATAAATGCTGTCTATCAGGAGCTGGCAGGGTAATGAACATCCTCACAGTCAGCCCACAGCATGATGCAAAGCAAATATACCAAAAAGGAGGACATGTCTGCCCTAGCTGGAGCATTTTGAACTGCAGGAAGCACCAAATGGTAGAGAACACAAAGGCTTTCTTGGTTTGATAATTCACCCCAAAAAAGTGCTTGAGCAGTAAGTATAGTTTATGGACAAACAACGTAATCTGATTTACTCCAGCCCACTGTAAATGAGCTATATCAAACTGTTTTATTTTAACTGTATAAAAGGCAATTCTTGCTTAAGTCTAAGGAACAACATTATGAAGAAGCTTATTTTGCCATCACATGCACCTATAAAGACAAAGTTCAAAGCTGCCTACCTTTCCTCTTAAAAAGTTGATTAACTATCATTAGACTGGCTAAGCAGCAGCTATTTCAACCCACTATGGAAAAGAAAGCTACACTAGACCTGAGACACAGCTAAGAAGAGAAACCTTTGGCACCTAATACTTACAGACAGTGAGTTTACCTTGGAGTATATGGAATACTATGAGGTTTGACTTGATTGAAGGTATAGATTAATTTCTGGGCGGCCCTTTGCTGTTGGATCTCCTGAAGAAAACAATGTTATAAACATTACTTTCATTTTCCTGAAGAAAGGTGGCATGAATTTGTCAAAACAAATACCTGATTGTATACTGTTTACAAATGGGAGACAGATCTTCCACAAAACCTTTTTCCTTTCCAAAAGATAACATCAAACCATGCTGAAGACATTCACTTGTAAGCAGTATAACATTTAAGGCACATCAGGTTAGAGGAGTCAGTGTGCCTTCAGGTCTGAACTCACCCTCAGGCAGAGATGTAACACTGTGCCATCACGAAAGATCTTTTGCCAAGTCTGGACCACTTCTGGCAGAAAAGACTTCACAATAAATACTTGTCCCAACTTTAATACATCGTTCTCAGACCAAGTACAAATGACCTTCATGGCCCGCCGCAGACCCCCATCCATCTCCTCCTGCGACAAGACTTGGATCATTGCAGCTGTACCATGCTGGGACCAGGAAGACATGCTTTTGCCAAGGTTCATAGGGGAACTTTCTTCTAGCTGATAGACCGTCACTTCCTCTCCAGCTTAAAAAAAAAAAAAAAAAGTTTTGTTAGCAGAAGTCACACACTGCAGAAACAGGAGATAACAGCATTCTTATTTGGTATCTTAAAACAACATACCACTTTACATACCTGTGTAAGCCACACTTTAAAAGCGAGCTTTTTTATCATTACTGTTCATCTGCGTGAAAACTTCCCCAGACTAAATTAACACTACTTACTACATACATTCTGCTTAAGATCTACTGCGATAATGTAAGTGGTCCAAGGAGCTTGTATTAAGCCTCTAAACAGAGATGAATTTAAGACCAACTGCACACTTCCACGCAAACAATTAAAATTAACAGGAAGTTTACAATTTTGGCATTTTAAACTCAGATTTTTCTTTTTCCTAGAAATTCCGATGTTATTTGTACTGCACAAAATTTGAGATGCAGCTCCTGCTAATAACATTTTTCTGAAAGCAGAACAAACTAGGTGAGCTTTAACTCAGTCACACTCTGTTTCCCTATACAGTTGTAATAGCTTTCCCCTCTTGCAGCCTACGTTAGACACCTTTCTGTTGCCGTCATTTGTAAACTAACAGAAAAGTGGACTGATTTTTTAAACCTGGCTTTCCTTCTTGCAACTCACGTTACTTGCAATGTTAATTTGTAAGAAACAGGTTTTCACTGGCAAGTGTGATGAGGTAACTACATCTGCAAAATGGCAAAGAATGGCATAAGGAAGGACAAACTGGATTCAGATTAGGAGACTTCTTCCCTGCTCCTGAGCCTGCCTTCACCAGTTAGCACAAATGTAGATGCTATTGGACGCCACAATTTGCGCACATTTCAGTTTAAAATAAAGCAACAGAAAAGCCAGTGCCTTGCATAAAAGACAGACACTTGAATAAAGGTACTATAACTAAGACACATTTTTTAATCTTACATTAATTCTTCATTTTATTATCTTTTGACAATTTAATACGTAGAAAGGTGTCTCCTGGGAGCTTCAAAGATTAGAACGTTCAATATGCTTATAGCTATATTAATTATCTGCAGCAATCTGGTCCCAAGAAATCCTGTGATGCTGCAAGTATCAGCAATTAGTTGCTGTGAGACAAAATATTCTACCCGTTGAAAAGAAGGCACCTAGATCTCAAGTGTCTAGAGGCACAGCTTCTGCTGCTGTAAGCCAATACTGCACACTAATTTCAGAAACCTTCCAAGTGATTTATGTGTTATTCTCTACCACTCTTCAGTTACAGCACAGTTCTTTTTTGCCTTGGTACACTACAAGTCTTCTGCACCAGGTACAGGAGTAGCGCCCTTTCAGCCAATACCTGGTTTTCTTCTTGATGGGATATCCTATACATATATCTACATGCGGGGGGAGGGGGGAGAGAGAGAGAGAGAGAAACAGGGAGAGGAGGTAGTTATTACGGTTAAGGGGAATCTTTTTGCTGTCTTCAGCTATCCTGATGATAGGTATAGAGAAGATGGAGTTAGACTCACTTCAACCTCTGAAGTTGACAGTAATCACGTGAATGCCAATAGATACAAGCTACAGCAAGGGAAACCCCAACAAATACTAGGGAAAATACTAGGTTCACAATGAAGTTAGTCAAATACTGGAAGAGGCTGCCCAGCAAAGCTGAGGAGTCTCCATTTATAGATATATTCAAAATGGAATTGGACAAGCTCTCGGCCTGAATTGACCACAGAGGGAGTTAGACCAGATGACCACCAAAAGTCCCTAAATTACTGCATGACTACAATTCTATCCTGGTTCATCTGTTTTAGAAAAGAAGAATTGCTGCAATTAATCCAAGGAAATTTCTCAAACACAGTCTTTAAAATGATAATACACCGACTACTTATAATGCAAAAAACATAACCAGGAAGTTGGTACTCACCAAAGAGCTGGACTGGTGTAAATGGTATGGTCTGAGCAAGTCTCATTAAGTTGTTTCTTTCAACAGCTGCAAACAACATAGATTTCACTACTACACAGAATAAACAACAAGCTGGCAGCATTTCAAAAACATCTGGCAGTGCATCACTGAAGCGTACAAAGCCAAGGAGGCTGCAGTGCAATCAGATCTGAGCACCACTCTACCCAGCCAGCAACTCCCCTTTGTATGCCCATGGTATCTCATAAGCATCAGCTGCCAGTCTTTCCCCCGTTCACTGATTCCCTTTTTCCAAGCAAAGAGGCTCTCCGTGACAAGACCCTTGCACCCTGACTGGAAGGACTGCTTCTGCTAACTCCTCATCCTCCTCCAAAGGCTGACACTACTTCCTCCTCATGCCACCTCCAGTGCAGCAACATTCACACTGTGCCAATGAGATGCGTTGGCCCCACCTGCCCTCACCGCCTGTCTCTGTCAGGCTCAGAAGCACCTGGGAGTTTAGCAAGGCATGACAGGAAAATCCAAGTTTGCCCTGCACTGAGCACTGCTTTTTCATCTGGGCTCCTCACCAAATGTCATCAGTAACATTATTATATTTCCCTAATTGGCGGCTTATTTCTCAGGCAAACACCTTCAAAACTTCAGAGCACCAACTAAATATTTATGGATTTGTCCTCACAATGACTCAGTTATCAGAAAGGGGGAGAGAGCTGTGAAGTAAGGCACAATGAGGGTAAGACTAGAAGAAGGAGACAATTCAAATGATACAGTGCTGTCTATCCAATTTTGCTATTCCATGGCTGAAGACAAAGCTAGCATCTAAAGCAGTGAACCACAGCTAAGCTGTGTTTCTCTGCAGAGCAACCAAAAAGCCCTGATGGCAGACTCTTCCAGAGCTTGGAGAACATCTGTCCTTTTTAAGATTAATTCTCTGAGCAGAAATTAATTAGAGATTATTTAGCCCAGACGGAGAGAGCAAAGGGGACCCATTACATGCCAACCTATGAATTAGGGTCCTCATTTGAGAAGATCTGTGTTTCAGACTCCACTTGAGAGCTTGTGTACATATTCCGAATTCAACAGGCATTGGTTAACATGTCTGATTAGTTTTGGAGCATGGACTGAAAATCAAAGTCCTTGTCCAATGTCTCACTAGGAACATGCTCTAGTCACAAAATTAGTGCATAGCAGGGTCAAGGATGTGAACAGTGGAGCTGCCAGTCCTGTGCCATCTGTCAGGCCCTGCCTGCACTCACTCTAGAACCTACAGGAACAATGTGAAGTGGACTTGCAAAGGCTGCTGAACTTGGGTCAAAACTGAAGTTCTTTTGGGTGTGCAGAGAAGCAGAACTCCACAACGTGATAGCAAAAAAAAAAAAAAAAACAACAAACCATAAGCAGTATGTGGTACAGGATTTTAGTATCAAACTTTTGAGCTTCATTGGCTAAATTCTATCCCAATCTTCCTGAGGAATGAAAACCTACACTGGAAACCTCATGTGACGTTTGTCAACTCATAATGGAAACCACTCCCATCTGTGCTAAATTGTCCTGCCTAATCTCAAATAGCATGCCTGACGAGAGCCGAATTAATCACTGCAACAATGCCACGATGTCAGAGAACTGTACGCTGATTACAAACCAGGAGGTGTTATTCCCAGTGAAAATCGCATAGTTTTTTGAACTTCAGGAGGCTGCTAATGCTTCTGGTTTTCCCTAGGCTTCCCCTTAAAGGAGGCCAAGTCCTGTAGGCAACAGAGACATCTACTGGCAAGCTCTGCTCAGTTCTCCACTGGGAAAAAAATGAAATCCACGCCTTGTGGGAAAATCTGTGCACGCTCGGTTCAGGAAAAGACAGGACTCCAGGCAATTAGCATTCAAATGATTTATTCCCTGCCAGATTTCCAGGAGTCCATAGGTATATAAACACAGTTTAAGTAGTACAGGCCCAATTAACTGAAGCAACCAATTCCAGAAACTACAAAGGAGGACGTGGGAGGTGTGAGGGGAAAGCGATTATCTACATTCTGCTCTGGATTTGCCAGAAATACCCAGAATGGAGCAATTAGCAGCAAGAAAATATTTCATTATTTCCTCACTGGAGTATGAGGCATGAATTAATACAGAACCTCCTTAAGCAGTGGGCAACTATGCAACTCTTCAAAATGAAAATCACAGAGGATGACATGGGAAGAAGTAATGTTTTTTTTAATTTGTTAAATTAATCAGCTATCATTTGGTGCCTCATGCTTACCTGAGTAGTGATGATGCAGATCTTGAGATGTTTTCAAGCAGGCAAAGATATCTGAAACAATGTACAAAGGATCATTAAGTTAATTATTATAGCAGACATAAATGCATGATTTTTTAATTCCGTCCATCACAGAGTTTGTCATGAAACAGATTAATCAGAATTACTGTCTCAGCATTCTAAAGAGGAGAATTACTAAAAGGCTTTAACTACGTTATAATGTACAGTATATTGGCAGATTTCAGTCATCAATGTAATATAGCCAGATGACTTATTTATTCAGGGAAATGGTGGGAAACTTGTGATATTAACCTCAAGGACATGTAGCTTCTCTAAGCCAATTACACCTCTGGGATATTAAAAGCACTTTGCTGTCCATCATGCTTCACAGCCTCCCAAAGGCATGATTTTTCCAACTCCATCCTCAGTCATTAAGCATTCCATTAGCTATACTATTACACCAAAGTTATACTAATACTGTCCCATTAACCCACAGCATCTAAAATGCTGTTAAAATATAAACAGACAAACAGTTTCTGTGCTTACTTAACAATGGTTTCTGTGTTATTTAACAAGCACAGTGGTTATTTAACAAGCACAGCCAGATCAAATTTAGTCCAAAAATCTTTGTTTTATAAAAAGTCTTTTCAATAAAACCAAGATTAATGAGCATGTTTCTATTAATTAGATTAAATCACTTTTTCTATTGGAAAACAATTCTTCAAAATGCCAGATTTCAGAAAACATGTATACTGTACTACTTTTAATTCTGAAAAATGAGACAATCAAAACTGAATCCACACCAAAATATTTGAACGTTACACTTTTCTTCTTGGTGTGTTTTATTTGCTTATATTCCCTTTTCTAGTGAAAGAGATCTTAAATAAAAAAACATAAATATATGTGGGGGATGGGCCAGCATTTCCGCCAAGTGCCCTTGGTGATTCAAGGTCCCTTTTGCTCTCTTTCTTGTTGGACCCAACTAGTTTTGTTGTTGCACAACAACTAACGTGAAAGGGGGGATGGGGGCTAAGTCTTTCCTTTTGAGGATAGGAAAACTGGATTTTAATCAAAGCAATGGTGCGCTCTAGAGAGTAGCCCCACAACTCACTGCGCCTGCAGCAGTGCGCTTTCAGCACGGCAGCGTTTTGTGCACAGCCAGACCCAGAAAGAGCAGCGCTTGAAGGCGAGATAAGTCTAAGAGCGACTCGTTTCTGCGTCACAGCTAGACTCAAAAAGAGATAGATGCCCAGCTGCTCAGCCTCTTACAGCTAAGTGGCATGCCAGGAAAACTGGAAGACAGACTAAAAGGCAACAAATACAAGTGCAGTTAACTAGCACTCTACTTTTGTGGAACAAAGTAATTCCTCACTATAACCTTGAATTTCTTCATTGGCCATTTCATAATAAAGTCAATCCTCCACTGGTTTCATAACTTCAGGGAGAACACACAAACAGAGGAGTTACACCAAACTGCAACTCAAAAAATCAAGCATACATTAAAAATGTTATATCACAATCTGTTCTCAGATATACACCCTGCTCTAACTGAGGAGGTCTCTTAGACTGCCAGGAATGAAAGCAGCACCATCAACTTAAAAAGTTTCTTCCTG